TGTTTGTGGACATTTTTTTAGAAAACCAGATAATCACAAAGTATCATCCCACAGATTAATTACAAAGGGAAAAATATACTGGGGTGGGCAAAAGTAGGTTTACAGTTGTAATACAAAAATACAAGGATAAACTTTCGCGTACTAACTGTAAACCTACTTTTGCCCCCTCTCCCCCATATATACCTTTGGAGAGGCCTAGCAACAACAGTTCAAACTGGCATCATGCACCTACTGAGGTGATGCAGTAAGTACATGTCATCATTTACATAGGCTCTTGTCAAAATGTTTAAGATTCATTCCTCAGAAGCTTATCATCAGGAAACAATGACAAATCCAGATTTTGGGACACTATTCAAGACAACTGACCTAGCTAGACTCTTCAACCAAATCAATGTCATGAAAAACAACAAAAATAGCAGCCGATCTGTTGTAAAATAAGGTGTAAGAGAAACAACCAAATGTAATATGTTAACTTTCACTTGCTCCTGGATCAAAAATTAAATTAAAAAGCTCTAAGATTTTAGGAAAATTAAAAAACACACACCAATTCTATGTGAGATTAGGGAACAGTTCATTTTCTTAGATGTGATGAAGATATTGCGGTCACACAGGGGAATGCCCTTCTTAGGAGGTGCATACGTAATTTAGGACTAAAGGCCACAGTGTCTGTGACTAGCTTTCAAGTGGTTCAGGAAAATCAGTATTCAGGAAGATCATTGCAGCAAAATGTTCAAAGTTGATGAATTTAGGTAAAGAGTCTATGGGTGTCACCAAACCTTTCAACTTCTCTATGGGTTTGATCTTTTGTTTTGGGTTTTTTTGAAGAGAACCACTGGTCCAAGTCTTGGTTTCTACTACCTCCTCTGTAGCCAGAGAGAAGTGAGGTGAAGAAATGCTCTAATTTTCTCAGAATTAGCTTGGCTGCAGCCAAGAGCCTTTTCCCTGCTGGTTCTACAAGCCAATTATCTCAGACAGTCTGAATGGCCTCTGAGGGTCTTAGATTGGATTTCCCATGGAGGAAGGTACTAATCCTCCCTTAAGGGGCCTTGGCTGCTGTAAGAAACCAAATACACTTGACCTTTCCAGGAACACATGCTCCAGGGCACAGAGAGAGCTAGGAGAGAAGCAGGGAGCAAGCCAGGGAACTTTTCAGGGGAAACCTATCAGATGAAGACTCCGTGTTTTGCCAGGAATCAATGTTACACTGAATACAGAGGGTTCACCAGGGAGGATGGAGAGGGGCTAATAAATTATTAACATTTAGTGAGGGTCTATGATATACTGAGTCAGATGTCATTGCTAACCTTGGCTCTGGTACACAGGGGCCTATTCCCCACTACAAAGCAATTTGTTCAATATCTATTCTAAGAAATTTGAGGAAAACGAAAGCCCAACTGATTATGGGACAATTGAAACAAACGCAAGTGATTTTTAAATAAAGAGTAGGAAAGATGTATCTCCATTCAGCTACTGTCCATTATTTTTATTGAGGAAAAAAGTGTTTCCACTAGAAAAGCTATTACTAATATACCCTTCTATGTGATTATGCTGCTCAGAAGGGAGGAGGTGGTGGGGAGGCATTCAAGATGTGAAGGGTAGAAAATAAATGCAAGTTTGGAAGACAGAACTGTTCCCAGCAGAAGGGGAGATGCGTGCAGTAAGGTTATCTGGGTACCTAGTGGGCAGGGAAGTTCAAGAAGAGGTCCATCTGGGACACAGTTGAGATACTGCCCATTGCTACCAGGATGCTGTCCCTTCTCCACATCCCCACTCGCTCTTTTGGCTCTGGAAGCCCTCCCTCTGGCTGGTCCAAAATCAGGCAGCCAGAACGCTCCCCTGAAAATCTAGCTTGGCTTCCTGAGCAGTCAAGTCCCACTTTCTGGGCAGCCAGCCCTTCAGGAGCAAGGCCTATTAGGTCTAAAGGTTGGCATTGCTATGGCCCACCCTCTGCCCACTGCACAAGGCAATGCCCAACGACACACTGGCAATCACTCCACTAGCAATTCCTATTCCCAAGGCTATAGCCACCTTCTTTCTCCATGGTGGACGGGGAGGCCTGGAATAGTTACCCAGATCCACTTCCAGGCCCTCATCTACTAACTTCTGATCCTCGGTGAGTGACTGCTGAAAATTCAGCTTCACCAACTGCGGAGGAAGGACCCTCACCCCAAAATAGAGCCTCTTCACAAGTCTCAAGTTTTTTAACAGCTGCACATCACACCGGTAGGTCCCAGAGTCCACCTCGTGAATAGATCTAAACTTCACAAAGTGGGAACTGGCTCGGAAGGGCTTGAAGACTTCATCATCAGTGGAGATGATACCCCGAGCAAGTCTCCAGGTGAACTGGAACGCTTCCTGCCCGATCTCCAGGATGTCTGAACTCAGACAGCTCAGCTCAAATTTCTCGCCTGCGAGAACGGTGAAATGGAGCATCCCACAGACCCAGTTGGTCAGACATTCCAAGCGCTGAGATTTACACTTCCTTCTCACTCCATCGGGGCCCACCTCACAGACGGTCTCCTCCTTATAGCCAAGGCCACAGGTGACCGTACAGGTGGTGGCGTTGACAATGACTTTCCCCACAGCTTCTTGCAGCTTCTCAGGGATGGCCAGTGTTTTAGGCAAAGTCATGACAAAAGGCGGACAGAAGGCCAACACCAGGCTTCCAAGGATAAAACTCGTGGCCAACATCATCATGTCTCAGTAGACATGTCACCGCCCTCGGACAGCACCTCCAGGTGTTCCAGTTGAATCCTCTATGATATCATTAACGCAATTCCTTCGACATGAGATATCCTTCAAAGTTGGAAGATGGGATGCATGCATTGTCAATAAAACTTTGCCACTTCATAAGCCAAAGTCCAGTCCTTATTAACAGGTGAGGCCACAGGCAGGAGTCACAATGTTGCTGCTGTACCACCTCTGCTTGTTAGTGACACCCTTACCAACCCCTTCTTTCCATTCTTTCAATGACTTTAAATCCACCTCTTGGGAAGACAAAGATCTCAGAGGCTGAAGTGAATTTCCAAACCACCTCAACTACATGACTTCAAAGCGTGAGTTTCCCTCACTCTTTCCCCTCCCCGCCAAATTATGGATCTAATTTAAAGGGTTTCAAAACCCCAGTTAAATCTGACCAAATAAGAAATCAAGTCTTAAAAGAGAGGACTAACTTGAATTAAGTTACCGACTCTCAGTGCTCCTAAACCTTCTATAAAAAGGATTAAGAAGTCTGGACTAGAAGGCAAGTGACTTATCCTTCCTGAACCGCTGTCTGATTTCTCCTTTGGAAGTTAAAACCTTCATGTCTATTTCAGGAAGGTCATTTTGAGCATCACATGAAAAAGTGTACACGAAAGTACTTTGTAAAGTGAGAGACACTGTTCCTGGGTAAGGAATTTTACATAGAAATGGACATTCATGAAGACAAGGGCCAAGAGCTCTTTTAAAATCAACTGTTCCCGGCAAGGTACCGAGATTAAAGGCAGCTCCTCTCCACCTCCCAGGCACCTTTCCTTCCCAAGGGCACCGAAGGTATTTTCTGGAGGAGAGGACGCATGACTCTAGGCCTGTGCCCTTCATTCTGGAGGCTAGAGCAGCTCATCTTTCACTTGGGCCAGCGTTGCTATGAAACAGCTATGATGTCAAAGGCGGATTCTGTCACATAATAGAAAAGATTAGCAGGCAAGCACTCAGATCTGATGATTACAATCAAACACTTAACTAGCCTTTATGAAACATCTTGCTTAAGAGATGACTCGTATTCAGTGGGTTCTGAAGCTATTTAATGTAGGGGGAAGGGGCCAGTAAAGGGGACCCGAACTGTGCTCATGCGTGCTACGCTCCTTGGAAGGAAACTCCTCGCATGCGTTTCTATAACCTGCAGAACACCTCCTAGCACTGGGCCTCTACTGAGTCGGTACACACACTTATACTGAATTTAAAAATATGAAGAGATCATTCCTAGATGATCTTTTTCACACCTTTTGTTTGAATGGTTTATTTATAATCTTGTCCAGAGGCAGAAACCTGGTTACCTGAGCATCCCTCCCCCTCCCAGCTCTGTATTTTCACAAAGAAAGATCCTTTTCCGTCATAAAGCAAAGGGGCAGGTGAGTTTCAGAAGTGGTGAGTACCTACAACACACACCTACACCTGTTCTTTAATAAACATCCAATTTTATTTACAAAGCATTAAAGCTTCAGCAAGAAGTACCCAAGGCTAAGTCTCGTCTTGTACAAAACTACAGAACATTAGAAAACAAAAGGAGGGGGATGAAAAAGGGAAGAAGGTAATACGCTTATATTGTACAAATTGAGAAAATCACACTGAAATGGACAGATTTCAGGAGCTGAAAAAAATCCCAAAAGCATAAATAATTATGAGGAGCTGCTGCCAGAACCCTTTGTATCACAGTTGGCACACTATTGCAGTGCATAGCACACAGATTTGGAATGGAATGTCTGCAAATGAAAATATGTCAGTGAGCCACCTACTAATCTCAACCACTGGTCTGTGATGAAATATGAAATGAAATTCACAAAACAAGCATTTGAGGAAAAAGTAGTGGCATCTAAAAATATAGACGTATTGCAACTGACTCACGGACAGCTCATCAACCACTGAGTATTTTGGTTCAAAAAGATGGAAGAGGACAGAGGCTCTTACTGATGTGCTCTACTTTGATTTCTATCCCAAAATCCAAAAGGTAACCAACCTGTTTGGCTCCTAGAGGAGCGCCCACCAGCTGATAGAGATTTCACAACAAGCAATGTGCAAACTCCCCTTTGAAAACACTGTGAAATGATGATGCATGTTAAGCACTCTGGTCAGCTAAAAGCTCTCCTCAGACCAGTGACCTCCCCACCCCCCGCTCCCCACCACCCCCACCCCCACATACACACACCTGGTTTCTTTACTCTGGATTTTCAGAGAATTTCAAACACCTAATGTACACATCCATCCAATATGCTACCTTTTATATAAAAGAACAGCAAAAGCAAGATGTAAAAAAATTTTTAAAAGCTAAGCAACCTTTCATAGAAAGGAAGTGACTGGAACATGTCATAAGGAAAAGGAGCTTGGATACAAGGAGGGGAAGATGCGATGACTGACAGGACAGATATTCACAAGCAATGATAAGAAAGTTTTGTTCCTTCATCTGTGATTTGAACTGTGGCCGCTGCTTTGATTTTGGGTGGTTTTACTGTAGTTCTTGCATAGATTCCCCAACCCCAATAAAAAAAAAAAAAAGGCCTGTTAGAGACACCTTGGTTTGTTTCCATCTCTGGAAGCCAGCACAAGTGAAGCAATATAAACTACTGATGATTCTTTGCTGGAGACAAATGAAACTAGCTACCTTAAAAAAAACAAACAAACAAACAAAAAAACTACACACACACACAAAACATGATTAATGCGAATGAACCAAACTGGAGGGAAACATGCAGTGAAAGGAAAACAAAAACCCCTCCTGCAGCCCAGCTTGAGCAAAATGGGGTCCATTGGGAAGAGGGGCCTTTCTCATCGTTCTCCCCTTTCTACAAATGTCAAATGTTTCAAGCGCTCTCTTCTTTGCCCATCCTTTGTACACAATATGGAAATACAGGAGGAATCTGGCGAAAGGATAAGTTTCAAAATGGAAGAATATGCAACAGAAGTTTTCCAAGGATACTGGTAGCAGAATTTCAGATAAGAACAAGTTACTCAAGGACGTGCACTGAGGATAGAAGGCAGGTAGGAGACAGGTCAAAATGATGCGGGGTACAGTGAGATTAGATGAGCAAAACAAGTATCTTTTCTCCAGCAACATAACTCATATTAAAGTGTAAATGAGTCAAACGCCCATGTGATGTCTTCACAAATCCGCATTCCTGAGAGCCTATTTGGACTTATGCTTGAAAGGGAAGGGACGTATACTCTTCGTTCATAATTCACTTCTTCATTCAAACATAAAATTCACTCCTTCCACCTCCTGGGCGAAGCAGAGGCATTTGCTTTAAATTAAAGTCACTTTCAAATGACTGAACAGTGTCCAGAGGCCACATGATGGAAAAGTGGGGAAGACTGAAGCACTTCAAGGATCTTCATAACAGTTCAGAGATTGCTCCCCCTGCTAGAGATCAGACACAAAAAGATTTCTTTTAGTATCAACTTAGACCAGTTACTCATGAAACACTGATGGATGCTGAATGATGCAGGACAAGCACACATGGGCTAAGAATCCCCCCACTTTAAGCTAAAACCAACTCCATCTCCCACTTACTCTTCTTCACTGAGGCAATAATCCAAAACCCAACCTCCACCCCATACTTGCTCGGTACTGCCCCAAAGGGCAAGTAAGGCAAAAATGATCAGAGTCCTACACACTTTCTAAGCTGTTGTTAACCATTCTCCAAGGTGTTAACAAATATTGCTTTATAACCCAAAAAGTGCAGTCAGTAAAGGAAATTCTAGGGCTCAGCATCTTCAAATCTTTCATATATGAGACTAATTAGACACTAAGTGATTAACAGTGAGCAACAAACCCTTTCCCAAGCACCCCTATTCCTTAAGTGACATTCTCATCATCACCTTAGAATTCCAAGTAGGATGAAATGTTAATGAAAACTACCGTTGGCATTTCTATGTGCCAACGACTGATCAATAAATAAAATCCTCAATAGTAAAATCAAATGAACACTTTCCTGATTGTTCCATAGAAGCTGTTCAAGCTCTGAGGGACATCCTTACATAGGCTGCTGTGAAATATTAACTAGGAAGTGTAAAAAGAGAACAAGGTGAAGAAAATCCTCCCAGGTGTCATTGGGAATGGGGGAGAACATGCCACTTGAAGGTAAAATGGTTAAAAAATAATGGCCCAAGTTATGGAAGTACCCATTTATACCCTTCGCTTTAAACCTGATTTTTAAAGTAAAAATTAAAGCACAAATGAAAACTGGCAATAAAAATAGATTCCCATTTGCCTGAGAACAGACTGAAATTATAAACTCTTCCTGGATGCTATATTGTCAAAAATCAAATTTAAACTTTATATAGTTCAGTAAAATAAAAGTGTAGTAAGCACCTATTATGCAGATCTCTCTCAACAAAAACATTAATCTCTTGAGTCCATTTTTTAAAAGTCTCGAGATAGAAGAATCCATACCACTTAACACTTTAAGGTTAGTTTTGCTGACTGTCCCCTCAGGTACATACCCTAATCAATCTAGTTTTAACAGTTTAAAATGAACACAACATTGACATTTTAAGCCTAAATCATGACAGGAAAACCAAAATAAACCAAAACCAGAGCAATCATACTATGAGCAAGACAAGGTACACAGAAACAGCAGCAAAGGGAAGACTCCAGGCAATTTAGTCTGCTCAAGGACACGCATTGTTTAGTTGCAACAGAAAGGCAATCTACAATAACATAAAATTCAGCTGAGATGAGCAGCTACTACTAGTACCTTCCAATAGCAGCCCAAGCCAGAGTGGCCTAAGAAAATACTGGAAATGGATTTCGTAAAATAAATGTGTTTTATTGATTTTACAGCAAGATGAAGGGAGAGGGAGAAAGGGAGGGAGGGAGAGAGAGAAAGAGAAACATAGATGCTCAATCAACTGAGCCACAACTGCCAGGGCTCGATACTGACTTTCAAACATTACCTTAGTCAGCTAATAAAAATCACAAAGAATGACAAAGAATATCTAAATAGTCATCTGATTTTAGCAGAAATTCATAAATTATTTGATAATTTTTTAAAAAGCAAAGAAGGGAATTAAAACCGTCACTCGCTACCAAGCATTCAAAACAATCTCAGATTCGGGAGATGGTTAGGAGGCCCAGGGTGGTGGGCCAGCATTAGGCGGGATAGTGGGAGGCCAAACTCAGGGAAATTTCCCCGTGCCTGTCCACCCCCAGAAGCAGCGCCTCTGTTCATCTCGGTCACTGCACTCCCATTAGACCCAAGTGCACACCAACCCCTTCATGCCCACCATCTCACGAGCCTTTAGACCACATATGCTGACAGACCACAGCTTTGTCACACTTGCCACTGATGTTTACTGCCAAGGAGCCCCAGTTCTTGGGCAATCCTTGAGCGGTCACAGGGCAACGGGGACACTGGTGGTTCTGTTTGCATCTCACGTTTTGATCTGAGGACTGTCCTCTGGAGAGTAGCTAATAAGGAAATTGTGGGGAACCCGATAAGTGCCATGTTGGTCTGGTCTTTCCAAAAAGTCCCAAGGTCAGGGTCACCCTGACCACACTTCACTGATGGGTCCTCCCTCATCACAGAAAGTGTGTCTTCATGGACGTTATCCAATACTGAGGAGCTGTCTGATAGGGAAGAATTTTCTGTGGCTCTAGATTCCAGAGAGCAGATTATTTCTATATGACTTATGTGTCTTCCAACCACCCTTTGAAATGCATAACGTGCTGTTGCAATAGGAACACACTATAGTAGCTTCGTCAGGGCTAATCAGGGCTTACCAAACGGTTTCTTCAATAACTCCTAAATTGCAGATATTAACAGTTGTCATTTATGTAACTTGAGCAGTAACACAACCTACACCTATAATCCTGCCTTCAAATAATTTAGTTCGAATGCAAAGCTAGGGCATTTTGAGGGAGGCGACCTTGAGTTGACCCTCAGACTGAATTGATTTTGGGGGGATCCTTGCACAGGGGCCATGCTCATCTCTGGAGCATCCCAATTTTAGTGTATGTGCTGCTGAAGCAAACACCTGAACTGATTTCTGAAGACGGTTCAGCCTCAGGCATTCTGGGTTAGATTTCATTTCTGAATACCTCAGGGAAATCTATCTACAGTGATTGTATGCTGCGTTTTACTGAGAATCTCCAAGGTGTGGAAGAACATGAAACTCAAATACCAGAGTTTTTATCTCTATGGCCTTGGGGGGCTATCTGAAAATTAATAGCGTGTGTCAGCCAGCCTGTGCCAGCCAGCCTGTGCTTGCTCAGGGCCCTCCAAGCTGACCATCGTATTGGACGAAGCCCCACTCTTGCCCGAAAAATCCTACACAAAGATATGATGGGTTGTCTTGCAACAGAGGCTTCTACTGGAGTTATCTGTAATCCCCAGTTGCACCACTCTCCCCAGATTTGCAGCCATCACAACGATCCTAACCAAACTGCAGCTGGTCAACAAAGCTGGATGCAGCTCTCCGAGAAAGTCTTGGAACCACACCACAATGCCCCTTTGAGGTTTCTTAATGACCCTGCCCCTCAGCAAACTCGAGTTTAATCTGACCATTTCAGTTTTGAGGCTTCCATTCAGCAAAAGGTCAGGGCACCAAGGCCAGAGAAGAAAGGAGAAAACAGCAGAAGGAAGCCTACACATGGGGAAGTACGCATGCACACAATCATGAGAAGTTGGTGAAATGTTTGCAATAACTATGCTGTTGTTTTGTCTGTGTGTTGTCGGAAAATGTGTCATCACCCTGGCTCTACTATATAAAAGTCTCCTCTAGTTCTTGTAAAGGGTAAAGCTATTAAAATAGTTGTGTCTACTTATGGTTGACCAACTCAAGTACCTAATAATGTAGAAATAAAAATCCAGCTTGAAGCGTCCAGCTATTCCAAGATAAAGGTTCTAGTCTTTAATGAGGTTGGTGCCTCATTTAACCTAGTCGGCAGAGTGAGTGGAAACAAACTTCCAATAGGCCCCTGATAATGGTTTCTATTCTTTCTAGAAGGAGCTTTGAAATGCTGATTTGTACCAGTACTAAAATATGTAGTCCACATCTAGTTCAAAGTATCCCTGAAAACTATATTCAGTATTTTGAAAAGTTTACTGAATGAAAAGGCCCATTCCTTTAAGGTTGAGGAAACTTGCCAACATTGTGATTCTGACTCTTCCAGATCTTCCTGAAGCACAGCTGAGAACCCACTGCTGTTACTCTGCAAACGCCAGCAGCACCTCACCGGGTGCCTGACAGAAACCCAGTTTGGCGAATGTCAGAGATATTTAGCTACTGCTAGTGACCACACCAACTAAACATAAAAGTTGAAATCACTCTATCATAGAGAGAAAACTTAATGGTTTATTTGCCATACATTTACTATCACAAAGCAAATGATTCATTACAGGCTGCTTTTGAAGGAGCTAGGAGACTATGTCCTAGAATATTTCAATTAATTCACTATGTTTGGCCAACTTTTAAATCACCCTGAAGCATTTCCGCTCTGTGGACCAGAAAAATCTACTTACACCTTAAATTGTGTCTTCTGTAGTAGCAAGTGTGCAAGAAGTGGGTGAAAAAGAATCAATTTTATTTAATATGTCAATTACTAATCTGCAATCTTTATTGACGATACCCATATAACTCTTTTAGGCTATTTAAAAATATACAGACCAAGCCTTCGGTGGATTGAATGTGGAGGTGATAACTATCAGTGAAGCACCATAAATGTTGGGAAAAGTGGGGGTTCTCAGTGGTAAGGTGTTGGGCTGTGAAAAAGTGGGGATGTTCAGTGATAAGGTGTTGGGAGGTGAAAAACTAAAGTCTAGCTCATTTGAGGCAGAATACTCAAAATGATGAGTCACTGATCCTGCTTCAGCTTCTCTGCAGAAGAGAAGTCATGTGCACAATGACTTAAGGTGTAAGCAAGGAATTCTGTCTCACATCCCAGTGCATCTCATCATCATATATTCATTACAATTGTAAAGCAAGTGGGGGGGGGGGCCTGAATACAGCCAGATATTTTATCATTGGGGCGCTGAGTCTACTGACCTAGCCGCTGAAAAACTGAGAGTACTGTATTAACTAAAGTAACGCTTTGTACATAAAACAAAGTTTCTAAAACCCAACAATGTTTGAATAGAAATGGATTCTAATTTGATTACTAGTTTCCAAACAAGAGACCAAAGCCTAGAGTCAAAAAAATTTGATAGAAAATTGAAATTGTTCTCCCATCCCCTAATAAAAATTCCTCAATCATATAAGAGTGAGAAAACTCAGTAAGTTTCAAAAGGCTTAGGTGTTAAGAAGCTACAAAGATACTGCAGTTCCTGTCTTTTTTGTAATCTCTTGTTTGAAAAAAAAACACAAAAAAACAAATCTTTTTTTTTATCATGATAGTATTACCAACAACTTAATTACTGCTTCTAGACCACTGGCAGAGAGACAGAGAGAGAATGAGAAGGAGGGAGGGAGGCAGGGAGGGAGGGAGAGAGAAAGGGATAGAGGCCACAGTTAAATAGTCAGGGGCTATATAAAGCAAGCTTATAGTTCTGGTTATCTGCATGGCTCTTTCATTTGAGACAAAACAAACATCTAAGAGCAAATACAGATGAAGGAATGAATTAAACTAGGGGTTGTTTCCCCTTTTCGGGTCATGAATTCCAATGGGAAATCTAATTAAAGGTATGGGCATCTTCCCTACACAAATATTCACACAATATTCTGCATTCACATAGTATCAAGGGAATGCAGACCCTTAAACCTATTTAGGGGCCCAAGTTAAGAGCCACGGGATTAAGCCAAATCTGTTTGAGCCTGCCCTTGCTGGAAGCTTAAAACTCAGAGAACACCTGCCACTTGGAAAAAGGAGGAAGGAAGAAAAAGCGCTGCAGGAACATGGAGTCACGGGCCGTACACAGCAAGGCCACAAAGCAAGCCGGACAGCGCTCCCATGTGTCCTTACCTGTCAGGGGCTGGCTGAGTTCCGCCTGCACTTTACCCTTCGCTGATCCTTCCAGAGGCAAACCTCTGTCCCCTTTGTAGAGTTTCGGTTTAAATGGAGAATCTTTCTCTTTACCTTTTGATCCTTTAGGCCGGCCTGCTTGCTTCTTCTTGGATTTGCCATCCCCCTTCACACCCAGTAGTGGATGGACTTCTGTAAAAGGACAGACAGGCATGGAAAGGAATCCGGTCACCACCAGCCCCATCACCCCAACTAAGCACATGGCATGCCACCTATCCAGGAGCAAAGGATGTTGCCCTTATGCCCAGATCCACTAATACAAGGAGAAAAATTGCTTTGTTATTTATAAAACTATACAAAGAATGGCCATTGAGAAATAGTTGCTTGGCCAAAGGGCACATACAGCCTATGTGGACTGCACCAAACCACAGCAGCTCTAAATGGAAAAAGTAGCTGAAAGACAGACTGACACTGTACACACCAAGGCAGAACAGGAATGCACACAACCATAACGTCATGTGAGAACAGAGAGGAAATGGGCTTTGGAACTAGAGAGTCCCGGGTAAGAATCCTGACTCAACCACGTGATTATTAAGGCTCCCAAGTCAGACTGCAAAGAGTATGAAGGAAGAAAGAAGACTGTCCAAGTCTGACTAGTACTTTACCACCAATAAACTCTTCAGGGGCGGGGTGGGCAGCAGCGATGGAAATGGTGGCAAACTCAGAGCCAGATGTCAGAAAACTTAACGTGTGTCGTCATCTTAGGCAAAGTACAGAGGGCAGAACCTCCCATTTTGAAAGAGAAGTGAAAGCACATGAAATCATTACAAAGTTGTAGAGACTCATGGGAAAATTCCTTTAAGGTAAAATCACTGAAACAGGAAACTACCAGATTGTGTGAAGAGTAAAAAGTGGTGTCTCTCAGGAGGCAGAGAGAAGAGGCGGCTCTTACCATCATTTGGAACTCCTTGAAGTTCTATATTGGTTGTTTTGGGTTTCTTCTTAGGTGGCTGGGACCCATCTGCGGAAGACTGCCTCTTCTTCTCTGAACTAGCCCCTTCGTCTATCAAGGAAGTTTGGACGGCATCCGGTGGGGGGCCATAAGGATTTTCTTCTGGGTCTTCTACCTCAGGGGCAATGGGTAAATACAACAGAGCCTTTGAATCTTCCAGCTCTTCATCACTATTTGGAATAAGATCAGACAAGGGATTGGAAAAAAAGAGGAGACAGTTGCTTAAACCAATAACCCTTCCTCTAGGACAGAATCACCTCTATTAACCATTAGCAATTCCAGGTATGGATCTGGAATTCTAAGAAAGCCAGCATGAATGAAAGGAAATCAGACAGCCTGATTAATAAAATCAGTAGTAAAATTAAGTGGCATAAATGAGTTATTCCGGTTTACGATGTTCTATCAGGGGAGGAAGGAAGGGACTTCATGTGCACAGAAGCAGCTATCTCTTGGGGCTAATAAGCAGATGGGACTGAAGGCCAGCCACGGGGACCCGCAGAGGAGGAGCGTCCTGAGGCCTAGCCCCGAGGTGGCTCACCTGCTACAGAAAGCAGCAATAGGGTCCACACTGGTGACATCCACTTCTTCATCCTCAGCAGCATCAGCCCCTGCCGGACAGACAGACAGCAGAGGCGTGAAAAGTGCAAAACTGCTTTTCACTCGTGGCTCAATGATTTTCATAAATGGAAATTCAGGAGAAACCAAGGAGGAGAAGCAAACGGTTCATTTATTTAATCATTCAACAAATATGTGCTAATTGCCACCATGTGCTAGGCACGGGGACTACAGTGAAACCAAGACACTTGGGAACAGTTCTTCAGTAAAAGCTTCATAGTCTAAGTGGGAAGTCAGATGTTAACAGATCATTTCAATTCAACATAGTAAGTGCTACAGTAAAGGTATGTTCAATGTGCTAAGCAGATGAGAAGGAGAACAACTTATGTGAAAGTCTGAAGCTTCACAGAACACAATCCAATCATACCGATACAGTCTAGCACGTCTTGTAGTCCTGCTAACACACATGAGGTGTGCAAGTTCCCTATTCTTACAAAATAGGGACCTAATTCCAGCACCATCAAGGTGATCTGTGGCAATAATTACTGACAGTGCCAACTGGGCAGAATAAGCATTCACATACTGAAACACCCACTAGATATAAAGCCCTGTGTTAGACACTATGGGGATAAAAAGTCAAATCTTTATTCTCAAGGAGTTTCCTACCTGGAAGTTCAGAAGATAGAGAAAAATATCAATGATCATGATCATAACAGGATGCCTATCAGACCTGGCACTACACTGAGTGCTTTGGGTGCAGTACCTCATCCATTCCCCACAACCCTAAAAGGCAGGCTCTGTTATCACCACTCTTATACACACGAGGACATTCAGGTTGAAGGAATAAGTTCCCAATACAATGTGACTCCAGAGCCTGAGCTCTTCACCGTCACGTTACTGACAAGGAGAGACAACACATGACACAGCTGAGACTCAGCATGTGTGGGAGCTTTGCTAAGTGCTGCAGGTAAACCCTCAACTAACCATCTGTAACTGACCAGGAAATGCAAAGTGAAATGTCAAGAGAGCTGTCAAATCCTAGTAATAATGTCCATGTAAGCCCTTAGTCAATTAAAAAAGGTGACGTTTTAGACTAAATGATGAAGTAAACGTTCAACACAAATTAAAAATGAATACTAAATAAAGCAATCAGTTTTCCTTTGAGAAATACTGTCTGCAATGGAGAAATGTTACCTGTCTGCTCCGGCTCACTCTTATCTTCATCTTCAATATCAAACTCTGATTCCCTTTCCTCGTACTCTACATTTTCATCCAGCTCTTTGAAGTCTGGTGCAAAGGCACTCCAGTTTTCCTACGCCACAAACAGAGTACATAGCCGTCTGAGAAAGCAAGTCTGTGCTCTAGACACTAATTACATACGTGAGAGATTTACACATGAAAACAACTTAGAATTCGGAGATCAAATTTGATGGATAATGAAAATCGGGTATCTATAGGTTTTACTATATTAAGATATTTCCTACCTTAAACATTCCAAGTTATTATTAACTGTAGTTCTTTCATTAAAAAAAAAACTGCCATCTTTAATCTTTTTAAGATGTAAAATCAACTCCAACTCCCACTTACTCTTCTTCACTGAGGCAATAATCCAAAGCCCAAACTTCTACCCCGTACTTGCTCGGTACGGCCCCAAAGGGCAAGTAAGGCAAAATGATCAGAGTTCTACACACTTTCTAGGCTGCTAATTAACCATTCTCCAAGGTGTTAACAAATATTGCTTTATAACCCAAAAAGTGCAGTCAGTAAAGGAAATTCTAGGGCCCAACATCTTCAAATATTTCATATATTAGCCTGATTATGAGTACACTGATTATAAATATAATGAAAGGTGTTTAAAATAAAACCAAGATATAAAACAGAAACTGAGCTGCAAATAAAAGCAAAAGAATAATCTATCTCAGATAAAGAAACAGAAAAATGTAGCAGAAAGTCCACTAGACTTCTCGCTGAAAACAACTAGTAAACTGGCTATTGCCCAAGACCATCCCATCAAAATAAGGCAAATCTCGATGCACTGAACCTATTTAGGTTACAAGATTCATATGCAAGCCCAGCTGGTGTGGCTCAGTGGTTGAGCATCGCCTTATGAACCAGGAGGTCAGGGTTCTATTCCCAGTCAGGGTGCATGCCTGGGTTGCTGGCTCGATTCCCAGTAGAGGGTATGCAGGAGGCAGCCAATCAATGACTCTCTCTCATCACTGATGTTTCCATATCTGCCTCTCCCTTCCTCTCTGAAATCAATCAATAAATAAAAAGAATCATATGCAAAAAAAGTAAATAAGATAATTTTTAGTGTACTATTTGTAAAATTCTTTGATAAAAAAATAAAGCGTTCCTAGTTTCAAAGTAATTAAACCAGAAAAATACTTACTACTTGATTCTGTGCCCAGATGGATACCACTCCACTAGAAATAGATGCTATGATGGGTCGAACAGGATGCCACTAAATTTAACAAAGGAAAGAACAATCAGTTCTAAGAAGGAAGCCACACGTCTGTTACAGAAGTAACAACAGCAACCTCTCATCCTACTCACAGCCACATCCAGCAGGAGCTCTCCTCTCGTCCCGTGGAGGATCTTCACCAGGTTGCCTATGCTCTTCTCCCAAATGTACAGGGCGTGCTGCCGGGCTGACCCGGCCACTATGTACTCCCCATCCCCAGAGAAGCAGCATTTCTTCCACGGGGTCCTAAAGGACACAGAAAGCACCCAAGGAAAACTGGAACCTGAGCCCAGGTTACGAATCAGCACACATTCTTCTAGGGTCTGCTACCCACCTATTGACCAAGTCCTGTAACTTCTGCATAGGTTCAGGCTCTCCATCTCTCCCACAGGTTAAGATTTCCCTGCCATCATAAACTCTGATTATTCGATCTGCCGTGTTAATTAAAAAGCAACTGCAGAAAGGAGAAAAATCACAAGTCAGGAATCTGTTTCCGTTAACATTTTCTATTACAACCTGTTCCTTAGAACAGTACCATAAAACAACGAATAAACCGGGGAGAAACTGAGTAAAGACCTAAGTAATGTACTCAAATACCTATGCATCTACCTGCCACATTCCAAACGAAAATTTAATTTGAAGTGAAAATATATTATATACCTCTGTGTATCCTTGAACCCTGCCTGTGCAAACTAACAAACCAGTCATCAGTACTGACTGAGATCCAAGACCTGTAAATTGAAACCAGCTTGCTGAAGTCCCAAGAATACAGTTAAACGTATATAAATACTTCATTTCTCTGGCCTGTTTCATACACAATATATTCTTCTTGATGAGTTCATAAACTATTTCAATTTAAAATGTTCCTTTGTTTTTTACTGTTAATAACTTTAGAAATTTGTCTAAAATATATTATTGCACACCCTTCTTCCAGACTTTACTGACAAACCTTTTCTTAATTGAAGAGAATATCCCCGAAGCATGTATGGTGTTCCTACATGAAATAGGATGAGTGTTACCTCTTTCATTGACAACCTATTTCTTCTTGTCTCTGTTGATATGTCTACTTCTAGCTGGATAACCAAACTTACCAGAAAAACATTGGAAATTAAAGGGGTAAACAGACTGGTTTTATGTGAGCAAAGTGTATGTTCAGTTACTCTGTGAATTCTGTGACATCTATTCTAATTATAATAATACCTAATCTTTACCCAGTGCTAACCACATGCCAGGCACTGGTTCCGCACATATCACTCAGATATTCTTTCTGTAAAGGACTGCCTGATAACCTCCTGATAAAGAAGATGTACTAGTAAATGCTGGGTCAATGCAGTAAATTTAAGAACCAGATATTGACAGTTTCTAATAACCATTTTAAAAAATATTTTTATTGATTTCAGAGAGGAAGGGAGAGGGAGAGAGAGATAGAAACATCAATGATGAGAGAATCACTGACTGGCTGCCTCCTGCATGCCCCCCAATGGGGGTCAAACACACAACCCGGGCATGTTACCTGACCAGGAATCAAACCAGGACCTCTTAGTTCATAGGTCGATGCTCAACCACTGAACCACACTGGCCGGGCTCTAATAACCATTTTTAAAGTAAACTTTTACAAAAATTTTTTTTTTTTTTAAATATGTTTTATTGATTTTCTACAGAGAGGAAAGGAGAGGGATAGAAAGTTAGAAACATCGATGAGAGAGAAACACCAATCAGCCGCCTCCTGCACGCCCCCCACTGGGGATGTGCCCGCAACCAAGGTACATGCCCTTGACCGGAATCGAACCCGGGACCCTTGAGTCCGCAGGCCGACGCTCTATCCACTGAGCCAAACCGGTTCTGGCAACTTTTACAAAATTACAAGTGAAATATACACAAAAAGTGTGAACCAATGTATTTTTGCATTCCACTCAATTTTAAAACTGTCCCTAAAAAGACAAGGTCTCACCTCCCCTTCCGGGCAAACTCTATTGACTTAATGGCTGTGGTATTGCTTGTTCCAGTTGTTACTCTGAAGGAAGCAACAAGATCTTGAGAATCTGTTTTTAAGACCAAAATCTAAAGTTTAAAAAAAAAAAAAAGTTAAAAGTAAGTAAGTATTCAGGTAACTTACAGTAATTGGATCTGGCTTCTGTTTCTAAAAATGGGAGAGACTAGGTAAAAATATAAACATCTTTATTCCCATGTATTCAACTTGATTAACTGGTATTGCCTTTTACCTCTTCAAATAAAGGATAGTGTCTTAATCTATTCTTAAAAGAGAATGTTTAATGTTAATCACAATGATCAAAAAGTGGAAGCAACCCAAGTATTCATCAACAGATGAATGAATAAAATGTACATACATACAACGGAATAATATTATTCAGCCTTGAAAAGGATGGAAATTCTGGCACATGCTGAGCATGGATAAATCTTAAGGATATTATACTAAATGAAATAAGCCCGTCACAAAAAGACAAATACTGTATGAGTCCATTTATATGAGGTACCTAAAGTAGCCAAATTCATAAAGACCGAATGATAGTTACCAGGGGCTGAGGGAGGGGTAGGGGTGTAGGAGCAGGGAGTAGGGAGTTATTATTTAGTGTTTTGCAAGATGATGAATGGTGGTGATGGGTGCACAACAATGTGAATGTACTTAATACTCATGAATTATACATTTTATGGTTAAGGTGCTAAATTTTATGTTGTATGTACTTTATGGGTTTTTTTTTTTTTTTTACTACAATGTGCCCTAGTTAAAAAAAATCAAGGTGCCTAATGGAACTACAAACTCTAAGCTTAAAAGGTACCTTAGCACTCGTCTAACCTGACTTCTACAAAACTACAGGTTACGCTAGCCTGAATTATACAATATTTACAGAACTAAGTATTTTCACCAGCAGTAATATAATTTAGAAATGACCCTTCCTTAGTAGCACCCAATAAAGGCCCTTCCATCTTTTTCTAGGCCACATAATCTCTGACCACTCTAAATCCAAAGAACAGAAATTATTAAGCATGAGAGAAAAATAAGCTATATTTGCAGGAGGCATGCTTAGAGTGGGGGTAAAAGAAATTTCAAAGGAAGTAGCACAAGTACACATGAAATGAGGCAAAGCACAGGATGACTGAGGGGTATTTTGCTGGCTTCTAGGCTTACCTTGCCTTTTGCATTTCCTGTATAGATATATTCCCCTCGCCTATCAAAAGATGCAACCACGTTCAAGTCCGAGTCATCGTCTACCGGTAGAACAACATGTTTGGAATCTGAAAGGGTCAACATGACAGGAGCAGATTTCATGGGACACACGAGAACCTTGTTCCTGTTTAAAAATATGAATAGTACATTGGCTGTTGCTTTGGTATCAGAAGCTTGATACCCTCACTTACTCTTCTAGCCCAAGCAAACTGAATATAGTGAAAGCCTAAAATCTAACTGTCTAATGATAGAGAAATGACTGAATAGTTATGGAATCCTACCTTGACAAAATAAAATGTAATCAATAAAAATGTAGCAAACTAGTAAAATAAGTATGAAATTAAGTAAAATACTGATGAAAACCATGTAAAAAATACATATTTATGAACATGTAACATGGCATATCTGTGCTTTGTGAGCTTTATATAACAACCTTTATATGCAAAGAGAAATTGACCAGAGAAATGCAGACAGTTATGTCTGGGTAACGGAATGATTAGGTAATTCTTTCTTAAATGCAGTTTAATACTGAATGATTTCTTCTACTAAAGAAATCCAAAAATGGGGAGGGGGGAGGGCAGGTCAAGGACTAGTTATTATACTTATTCGTATCTTTGTCCATTTCCAAAGTCCTATTTTTGGCCAGCTTTTCACTACATAACTCACTCCTTAAAATCTATTTAGTAGAGCCAACCTAGACAGGAAGACTTTTTATGTGGAAGGTCTAGGGATGTGTGAATTTGCTTCCCAAAACCTTAAAATGAAATTGTCTTGAGCGTGGAGCTAATCCATATAAAATTAGACCCCACCCCAGGAAGAACAGCTCAGATTAAACATACTGATCTCGTGGATGATACTGGACTTTTAAGATGGGTGAAGGGAACCGAAACCTCTGGTCGCAGTCTCCTGAGAGAACATCCCACTGTGACACTATGTTATCAGTGGAAGCACTCACGAGCTTATGACCATCTCGACTCCAGCTGAGAAGGGAAAAAGAGTAACTTAGCACATGTTTTAAGGTAAAGTATATCATACCACTCTTATGGGCAAACCGCCTGAGTCACATTATTGCCCTAATTGTATAGGGTCAATATTTCTTTTTTAAAAACATATACTCAAATCCACAACAGGCTCTCCCAACTAAGCAATAAATAAGAATGTTTTTGTGACATTTTCATATCTAGTAACAGAAGGTCTTAACAATTCAAGGTAACACTACAAGTGGCTCTGTGAAAGAACATGAACATATTAGTCTACAATCAGCGAGCACTTAAGTGTTGATTTAACAAAAAACAGGTTATTTTCTTAGGGGTGGAGAGGGAGTATCTGAGCTTTCTGATTGCCCCTGCAGTAGTACCTTCAGAGCTTAAACAAATAATAAAGATAAGTATCTGTTATTTAAAACTAGAGGCCTGGTGCATGAAATCTGTGCACGGATAGGGTCCCTAGACCTGGCCAGTCATCAGGGCCAAACGGGGCCTTCTGGCTGCCGGCTGCTGGCCAGGGCCTTCCTTCATTCCACACCACCCCCTGGGGGTCAGTGCACGTCATAGCAAGCGATCAAACTCCCAGTCAAACTCCCGAGGGGACAATTTGCATGTTAGGCTTTTATATATATAAGATAATTAAGAAAGGAATGTATTCCTCCTGCTAACTATAGCTAAACACCTGGACATTATATATAAACAAACAGAAAAAGACTTTGAAAGACAGAGAGAAGACAACTGGCTAGAGACTGCAGGATAGAGAAATGACTTAACAGTTCACTGGGTGTTCTTTTTGCCTCCCATGTCCCAGACCAAGTGATGGAGAAGCCAACAACACAGTAATACCAATGGGCACACACAAAAAGGCTGGAGAAGAGCCTGTTTTCTTTGACCAAAGGACCAGGAAAGGACAAACCAGGGAGACAGAAAACATTTAGACAATAGTCACTTTACTCCAGCAACCACCACAGGAAAAACTGCAACCCCCGTCAACAAGGTTTAAATAGAGAGTCTAGACTTCCACTACTGCCCAGTTTACAGCATAGCACTCTTCCCTCCTAGCTGGTGTCCTTCACGCCCACCAGGTGGTAATGAGGATCTCCGCCACAGAATTAGTGTAGACCAGGTGGGGAACAGAAACAAAGCACTTCGAGCCTTCCAGGCAGGACAGTATCAGCCTAGGAGGCCCAGTGGGGAGCCTGAGTTTCCAATCTCACCCAGCATATTGCAGCCAAATGAGAAACATGGACTTCTAACCTATCTGGCAATAACAAGATGGTGCCCTCCCTTCCCGTTGGTGCAGTATCAGAGGAGGCCTGCTAAAACACAAGATTTAAATAATAAATAAGCTCTACATTCTTACAACACAACACCTAAAATGCCCGTTTCAAATGAAAATCACTATCAACCCAAGAACAAAGGAAATTTCAACTTGAATGAGAAAAGTCAATCAACAGATACTAACACAGAGAAAACATAAATGTTAGAATTATCTGACAAGGATTTAAATGCAGCCATCATAAAAATGCTTCCATAAGAAACTGCAAACATGCTTGAAATAAATGGGGGGGGGGAAACAAACACGAAAAGTCTCAGCAAAGAAACCGAAGATACAAAGAAGAACTGAAATGGGAACTTTACTAGTATAATTGAAAATTATAACTAAAATTTAAAAACAGCTCAGCTGGTGTGGCTCAGTGGTTGAGCATCAACCTATGAACCAGGAGGTCACGGTTCGATCCCCGGTCAGGGCACATACAAGAATCACCCAATGAATGCATAAAATAAATGGAATGATAAATTGCTCTCTCCTCTCTCTCTCTCTCTCTCTCTCTCTCTCTCTCTCTCTCTCTCATCAATAAATAACAAATTGGAAAAAAACAAAACACTCAGAGATGGGTTCAGCAGCCAATGAAGAAGAAAGAGGAAAGAATCAGTAAATAAAATTTAAAAATTGCAATCTGAATAACAGGAAGAAAACAAATGGAAAAAAATGAACAGAGCCTCACAGACCTGTGTGACTATAATAAAGATCTAAAGCTATATTATCAGAGTCCTGGAAGGAGAGGAAAAAAAAGTAGGGATTCAAAGTATTTGAAGATATAATGCTAAAAATTTCCCAAACTTGGCAAAAGATTTTATAACCTACAGATTCAAGAAACTGAATAGACCTCAAACAGGATGAGTTCAAAGAAATTTACTCTAAGACCCAGAGACAAACTTCTGAAAACTAAAGACAACAAAAAGAATCTATTTTTTCCTCATTTAGCAAAAAGGGTTTATTGGGGCTGGGGCGTGACTGCAATCCAGAAGGTGCAGCCAAGGCCAGCCGAGTGAAGGTTTCTGCCCAGAGGAAAATGGAGGAAGTTCAAAGAAAAAAAAGTGTTAAAAGCATTAAGAGAGAAATGACACCTTACCTACCAGGTATATGGAACAATTCACATGACAGCAGATTTCTCATCAGAAACCATGAAAGTCAGAAGGAAGTGACACATTTTTTAAGTGCTTAAAGAAAAGAACTGTCAGCCCAAATCCAATATTCAGTGAAAATATCCTTCAGGAACAAAGAGGTAAATCAAGAGATTTGTCACCAGCAGACCTACCATAAAAGAATAGCTCAAGGAAGTTCTCTAAACAAAAAGGAAATGATAAAAGAAGAGATTAGAACATCAGGAAGAAAGAACAATGAAAAGAGTAAAAATATTGGTAAATACTTTTTTTCCTTCTTGAGTTTTGACATATGAAGCAAAAATCAAAATACTGTCTTATGTGGGTCTCAATATATACAGAGGAAATATTTAAGACAATTATAAACAAAAGAGGGTAAAGAGAGGAAAGGTTTCTTACACTTCATTTGAACTGGTAAAATGTCAAAGCCAGCTAATGGTGATAAGTTTTATATGTACAATATAATACCTAGTAGCTACTAAAAAGCTAAAAAATATACTACAGGTAAATCAAAATGAATGCTAAAAAATGTTCAAGAAACCCACAGGAGGCAGGAAAAAGAAAACAGAGAATCGAAAACTGAAGGAAGAAACAAAAAAAGAAACGCAAAACCAGTACTTATCCAAATTTTGCAACAAAGAGGAATCACTAATGAGGACTTAGCAGGTAATATATCTCCATGGTGAAGAACATGGGCTCAAGAGTCAGACTTATGCCCAGACATTACCACCTTCTAGTTGTTTGATCTTTGGCAAGTTATACACCTTTCTAAACTTCAATCTCCTCACCTATAACACAGGAACAGTAATAGTTACTACCCATAGGAGACTGTTGAATTAAAATCCATATATATAAAAGGCTAAGCAAGGTCAGCAGGTATGACACGCACTGACCACCAGAGGGCAGGCGCTCAACGCAGGAGCTGCCAAGTACCCTTGCAGAGTGCCCTCTTGCACTCTGGGACCCCTCGGGGGATGTCAGACTGCCGGTTTTGGCCGATCCCCATAGGCCAGGCCAAGGGACCCTGCTCGCTCCGCAGATGCGGTTTGAGCCCCAGTGCCACCCCAGGTGCAGCCAGCCTGGGAGGGACCATGGGAGGTTAGCTCCAGGGCATGTCCAGCCCTTCTCGCCCAGTCCAGCCCCACCGGCCACCTTCTAATTAATTTCCTTTCAATGTACACAAATCCATGCACCAGGCCTCTGGTATCTTAATAAAGCTGTTAAAAATAAATCCTTATGAAAAAACACAACAATAAAAAAGAAATGAAAAGCAATGGAGCTGGAAGGGACGTAAGAGATCACCCAGGCTGGTGTTCTCCCTTTGTATATTAGAGAAAAGTCTTGCCCAAAACCACCAGTTCATTAGTGGCCAAAACTGGACTGGGATTCGGCCTCCCCCCAATCCAATGCTTTACAATACTTCTGCTGCTTCTACTTAGACAAAAGGAAATATGTTACTGTTTAGTAAATTTAGATTTGATTAGGTGCTTTTTTTGGCCCCAAGTTCATTTAAAAGAAGTGCTGTGCCAAAATAAAATTTTCTAAATAGTCATCTCCGAGAGTAAGAAAGTAATCAATAGGAATTTATATTAAATCAGAGTTCAACTCAAATTATCTGACAGGAAGCCTTAATAACTATACAGTTCAATGAAGAAATGGACATGCTTTGGATAACTAAAATTGCTGGAACAAGAACCTGGACAAGGCTGGACTAGACGACTTCCAAGCTTCTCTCCTAACCAAAATTTTTTATTTTAAATGAAACATCTTTATCACAAACATTATTACAGCTACAATCAGTAAATATCTCTTTTCAGTATTGAAATATTCTCAAACAGAGCTATATACAAATCCATATAATTACAAAGGAACTTGAAGGACAACATGGGTTCAAGGTCTACACCAGCTATGAGTAATTACATTACTAGTGGCTGGATTAGTAATATTAAATATTAAAATATCTACAGTAAGATTGCCAATTACACAGTCACCATTCATCCCACTACATTAACTCATATTAAACATAGTAATATTAAAATTCCTTACCATAAAGAACAGACTGGATGGATATGTGCACTAATTATTTTAGCAATGCCTCTTGTCAAAAAATCCCAGATGACAATTCGGCCATCATTACAGCCAACTGCAAGCAGCGTGCCCCACCTGTTAAAGGTGCAAGTCAGGGCCATGCTGATACAATCCAAAGTTCCATCAGCTTCCTAAAATTAAAACGAACACAAGAATACAGACAATAATACCCAGGTGTGCAATTATTTTGTAAAGGTTCTCTACTATCTATGGACACTTCTCTTGAATTTAAATCATGTTGTACACCACAATAATCTCTACGTACGTTCATGTATCAATCAAACTAGTCAAAATGAAGAAATATTTATAAAAGCTAACAGAATTTTTGGAAACAGGTGTGATCAATCCCTTACACTACCACTGTAACTTTGTACACACACTCTAGAGGACAGTTAGGCCAAATATAACAAGATTCATTGAAAGAGTCATCCCATTGACCCAGTAATCATATTTTTTAATTTATCCCAAGAAAAATACTTTAAAACAAGAACCCTAGAACAGCCTATATGTGTAACATTAGAAAAGCCAAATAAATTTTTTATATTATCAAGCCATTTAAAATAATCATGGCTAAAATGATATATATTCCAAGTATTACACAAAATATTTTTACATTTAAAAAAATAAAGCACACTTATAGCATACATATTGATTTATTACTATGTAAAAGCATTGATAAAACTAGAAAAAATCTATATACAGGTGATGGTGCTGTTTGCGATCCTTTAATCAAAGTCATTTTTGATTTAAAGGGAAATGAACTATAATATTTACATTATGGTGAGCTTTCCAGCTAACTGCCTATCTGCCTCCCCCACTTAAAATGGAACATTTAGGTCCTTATTATAGCAAAAGATATCATCCCATTTAATACTTGTCAAAAAAAAAGAGAGATCAAAATGCATTTCCCACTCAAACACAAGAGCTAGTGAGTTATCATGTTCCTAAGAATCACAATACTATACTCTTACCTCTGGATAATTCTGCCCAAAGGACTCTGCAACAAAACAGAGAGAGAGATGTGATGGGACACATGTGGCATAACAGGGATCCTACAGCTCATGAATGGTGCATAGCAGTGACCTGCAAAATGTGGATGGGAACCGAAGCCCTTTCCTATTGTCATTATCATGTCAAGACGGTATTTCCTTTTTTATCCTTGTTATCTCATGTTTATAAATGCGTTCTCCTGAGGCTATATGACCTATGATATTGCAACAGAGTGAACGCAGAAGCAGATGTAAGAAAACTGCCAACTTCTATTTAGGCAAACTTTACAGAGATTTGTAAAAATGTAAAACAATGCCACTCTTCTCACTAAATTTTATTTTGTTCTAAAGTACCTATTTTCCATAAAAATGTGTTATTTATGTCAACATGTAATGATGTTATTAAGCTTATTTTTAAATAACAAACTTTTAAAAATCAAATCAGTCAAATTATCTTAAGTCCCAACTATTCTCTAAAATCTTTATTAACAACAGCCAACTAGCAGTGATCATTCCCCTTATTAATAGCATTTAGGTTTAACATAATCTGGCAGTTGGTTAAGCACATTAAGCAAACAACATTTTGGTACAAAAATCCCTGACTGCAATATTAAATTTGGTATTTAAACATTAGTAGTAATAAACATTTCAAGTTATGGCTATGATACCACCTGCTTGTCAAAAGCTTAATTTCAGCCCTAGCAGGTCTGACCCAGTGGATAGAGTGTCAGCCTGCAGACTGGAGGTCCGGGTTCGATTCCGATCAAGGGCACATGCCTGGGTTGCAGGTTGGATCCCAAGTAGGGGGTGTACAGGGGGCAGTCAATCAATGATTCTCTTTTATCGGTGATGTTTCTATCTCTCTCCCTCTCCCTTCCTCTCTGAAAACAATAAAAATATATTTTAAAAAAAAGTTTAATTTCAGCAGCAGCACCATCTTTGCCAGTATTTACTTAGATTTTATTACAATGGTTTTTAAACTATACATTGAGAACTACAGGTTCAAGAAAGCTGCTTTACATATAGGGCATCCAAATAAGATATGTTTCTCTCTCTCACACAATGAAGTTTCTTCTTCTCTCTCCCTTTTCCTCCCTCTCTATTTAAAAAAAAAAAAAAGTCTGAAAACCACTTTCATTACATTTTGTTCTTAAAAAAAATTAATAGAAAACATCAAAAAAACCCAGGCCCCATAGTTAAGAAAATCAAAAGAAAGATGAAACTCAAGGTAACTAATTGCCAAAAAGGGTAATTATCTTGATTTATCTAATGTGCGCACATATTATGTGACTTGCTTCTTTAACAATATATACTATACATTTTTCCAAATCAATAATATAGCTTGATGTTCACATGGTTGAGAAACAAACAAAAATTTATTTAAAAATTAAAACCAAGCCTGGCCAGCGTGGCTCAGTGGTTGAGTGTCAACCTATGAACCAGGAGGTCACAGTTCGATTCCCAGTCAGGGCACATGCCCAGGTTATGGGCTCGATCCCAGTAGGGGGTGTGCAGGAGACAACCAATCAATGATTCTCTCTCATCATTGATGTTCCTCTCTCTCTCCCTCTCCCTTTCTCTCTGAAATCAATAAAAATAATTTAAAACAAATTAAAAAACACAACCTAAAAATATACTACACTCAGGAAGGACCGAGTGTGACTTGTGCTGTGTTGGGAGGAGGGAAAGCCACACAAAAGACTCTGAGAGAACCCAGAATCCAGGACCCTTTCAATGCATGATTACCCCTCAACACACGTTACCTCTGATTTTGTATTTTTATATTTTGGGGTAGGTTTCTTTTTTTTTTTTTTCTGAGGTTCATCCTGGTTAACAGGGGTACAATAAGGAGTTTAAAGGAACACAAAGAAGACTAAGCTGGTCTGGGACACTTTGGTTGAAGAGTCTGAGCAAGAATGCCATCGCGCAGGGTTAGGAGAGCACAAGGCCTTTCCTCGGAATGCTCAAGACCACTTTCGTATTCTCCATCCTCCCACCATCTACCATTTCCTGTCACAATTAGACTACTTAGGCTTGGTTAAAGACCATTAAGGGGAAGAAATCCCCAAAGATATGAATGCCAAAGAGAAATAAACCCCAGTCAAACCCTTTTTTTCTACCAGGATCCTTTCTCCAAACTGCCTTTGAGCTTCACAGGCCTTCCCAGCCTTCTTCCTCCCGGCCTCGTGATATGGGAGAATGTCTATTCTCTAAATCAGGAGTGAGGAACATCGGGCCTGCGGCCATATCAGGCCTGTGAAATCATTTGGTCTGGCCCTGCCAGGCATCAGGGGTGAATTAATTAAATGTTTGACCAAATATAGCAAGCTAATTCTTAAGTTGATAATTCTGTATGACCCAAGAATGATGTTATAAATATCCAAATGGCCCTTGGCAGGAAAAAAGTTCCCCACCCTCTAAAGTGCTGAACATCCCCTTCTTGACGACTTGATTATCATGACTCTAAAATTTCATGGTCTTTTTCTCTCAATGTTCCTATTATTTCCTACTTGCCAACCAATTCCTCCCTTTTGTAGCAGTTAGGTCCAGAGTAGCAGTTTCCATTCTGCTCCCTCAATCTAACAAGTGATGACGGAGTTGGTGGCATTTCTTTTAAAGAAATGCAACTGCCAGGTGTCTAGATCACTGAACCCACTACACCCACCCCAATCCAATGCATCACTACCATAATCACTACATTTCCTAGGCTCCAGTCTTGCCTCCCTCAACACTTCTTAAAGTTGCCACAACTTTCTAAGCCCCAAATCCCATCATTTCACTTACTGGTAAAAAATATCCCTTGCTAAACAATATACTGAACTCCTAAGAATAATTTTTTAAAATATATTTTTATTGAGTTTATTTAATTCAGAGAGGAAGGGAGAGAGGGATAGAAACATCAGTGATGAGAGAGAATCCTGCATACCCCACACTGGGGACTGAGCCTGCAACCTGGGCACATGCTCTGACCGGGAATCGAACCGTGAACTCCAGATTCATAGGTAAACGATCAACCACTGAGCCACACCGGCCGGACCTAAGAATAATTTTAAAAAGCAATTTCAATCTGGCCTCAGCTGGTATTTTCCTATTTCTCTTTGGCTAACTCCCCATCAGCACTTAGTATGGAACTTGTATAATCCACCCTGAGCACCAGCTATAAACTACTCACCGTTTCCTGAACATGCCACACACATTGTACCACCACTGTCCTCTGCGCTGGTAATGACCTCTCCAGCTGTCCCTCTGGAAAAATCCTACTTCATATTTACTGCTGGGTTAAAAGGCACTTCCTCTTGTAAAATCATCCCCAAATTTTATTGTCAGCCCCAACAATACAGAATTAATTGTTCTTTCAGCTGGTTCCAGTTATCTTCTCCTAGTTCTATATTTATCCAGGGCAAAGGCTGTATCTTATTTCAATGTTTTTCAAACAGTAGGGCCCAATCCACCATAAATGGATAAATCGATTTAGTGAGCCACACATTTTTTAACAGATTAGCAGATACCAGAGGACACAGTGTTAACAAGGATTAAGTATAATTTTGAGAAACTTAGTTACATATGTAACTAAATAATGGGTTGTGATAGAAAATACATGTTTATTGTGCGTTGTGGGAAAAGTTTGAAAAACACATGTAACTTTGTATCTCCAGTGCATACTGCCAGACACACCTCAAAGGCTCAAAAGGGGGTTGCAGATTTAATATCTTGAGTGTCCACAATAAGAACACATTATCAGCCCTAACTGGTTTGGCTCAGTGGATAGAGCGTCGGCCTGTGGACTGAAGGGTCCCAGGTTTGATCCCGGTCAAGGGCAAGTACCTTGGTTTCGGGCACATTCCCAGTAGGGAGTGTGCAGGAGGCAGCTGATCGATGTTTCTCTCTCATTGATGTTTCTAACTCTCTATCCCTCTCCCTTCCTCTCTGTAAAAAATCAATTTAAAAAAAAAGAACACATTATCATTCATTTCCTGCATCTGGCCAGATATCCTTTAGCATGCTCCCACAACCACATCATTCCTGCTCCTTTCTCTTTTTCTCTGTAACACTAACTTTCCTGCTTTAAAACTCAGTCACCCCCATACAGAGTTGTACCTTTTGGACCTTGCCTTCTTTAATTTTATTTTAATTCTTTTTGTTTGTTTGGTTAATCCTCACCCAAGGATACTTTTTTCCATTCATTTTTAGAGAGAGTGGGAGGAGAGAGAGACACAGAGAGACAGAGAAAGAGAGAAATATCCATGTGAGAGAGAACACAGTGGCCAGTTGCCTCCCACACACTCCAACCACTGAACCACACCAGCCAGGGCAGAACCAGCCTTCTTTTAAATTGCATAACCTTCCAATACTCACTATTCCTTCCTAAGTTCCACCCTCATGAATTTTCTGTATTTAAAACACACAACAAACAAACAAAGACAGCCACCTTTCCCATTGAAGGTACTAGCCTATCATCTTTCCTCTATATTTTCAGTTTTTAAAACTAAGGATCAACTCTTTCCCTCCATTTTGTCTCCCACACCTTCCTAAAATCATTGCAGGCTGGTTTCTGCTGCTCAGGTTGCTGAGGGGGCCCCAAGCTGCTTACAGACTAAACAGAGCAGCCCTCTTCTAGCTCTCAGCCTCAAACGCTCTGCAACTGGCTTCTATGGCAGACTCCATACCCACCTGTTTGGTAACTATGTGGAAAGCACCTAAAAATATGCCTTGCTCACAGTAAGTACTATATAACTGTTAGTTACCTTATTATCATCGATTTCTCTTCCTGCCCCCTAAATATAGGCAATTGTCTGAGATTCGGTCCTCAGCAGTTTCCTTTCCTGCCCCTCCCACTGACTCCCTTGGTCTCACCTACTCACAAGGTTTCAAGGAGCCCACCTGTAGGAAGATTACAAATCCCTCCCACAAATGCTACCCTACCTGCTGGACCACAGATCCACACTCCACATGCAAAATGCTGCCCTTTGCCACTCTCCTTGTTATCAGCAACGCCACTGTGGGCTCCCATCCTTCGTCCCTCGGTCTCTTCTCCCATCGGCACCGCACCGCCATAAGCCACTGATTCCCACATTCTGTCCACTCTGCTTCCGGGATATCTCCTTTCTGTTCCCAGCTCCACTCCCACATCACTCCTCTGCTTCAGCCCTGCAAGCTGGTTTCCACCCTCCAAGACTCCATGAACAACGTCGTCCGATAAATCTTAAAAAGAAGCCCACCGCTTTGTTGGCGTTACTTACCAGGTCAAAACCCTTCCATGGATCTGCCATCCCTTCCTTAAAAAGCACAGACTGTCCAGCTGGGACTCAAGAGCCTCCCCAGAACGGAGGGCACCAACCCCACCCCCTGACCTTCTCTTTACTCACATGCCCACAACCTGGCCCCACAGGGACATCCTCCGGGCCTCCTTCCGCTGATGCCTTCAGGCACACGTTCCTGGGAAGCACCCTCCCCGCTCCGTCCCACCACAGTCTGCCAATACTTTACCGATCGTCAATGTCCACGCCAAACCCCAAGTCCTCCACGGGCTTTTTGTTCACAGTACCCTTCCTTCCCCTGCCCCAGAGACATTCCTTCCTCCTTCTGAATGCTCTCAGCGCTGACTCTTAAAGGCCTTCCTGTGTTCTGCCATACCTTATGGCTATTCACATGGCCTTCTTAACCTTTCTGCCTAACAGAAATCTCCTTAAAGGTAAAGACCATTTCTTAAGAATCTTGCCCTGACCAGTTTGGCTCAGTGGATAGAGCGTCAGCCTGCAGACTGAAGGGTCCCAGGTTCGATTCCGGTCAAGGGCATGTACCTTGGTTGCAGGCACATCCTCAGTAGGGGGTGTGCAGGAGGCAGCTGATCGATGTTTCTCTCTCATTGATGTTTCTAACTCTCTATCCCTCTCCCTTCCTCTCTGTGAAAAATCAATAAAATATATATTTTTTTAAAAAAAGAATCTTTGTGGCCCCTTTGGACAACCAAAACCACCTTCTGATTTTTATTTATTTATTTATTTATTTATTTTAAAGAGAAACCTATCCATAAAGACAGCAAATCGTTTAGGAGTTCTGAGAAGTCAGGCCTCCCTAGGCTACCGTGCTAAACACACAATGAAAGCCTGAAAGGAAGAGCCTACGGTTTTTAAACACGAGGAACTGACTCGGAGAGAGGGGGACAGAAGGCAGCCACCTCGGCAGTTCGCACCCCAGTGTCGGACACACCGTCCCTGGCGGCTGCGGGGCTCCCATGGGAAGTCGGGGTAACTGGGTGCCAGGGCCAACTGTGCCATTTGCTTGTTTAGTGCCTTCAAGTCGCGCCCCGCGGAGCCCTTTTTTCATCTGTTCAACGAGGGGCTTCCACTAGTGGTTCTCAACCTTCTGGCCCTTTAAATACAGTTCCTCATGTTGTGACCCAACCATAAAATTATTTTCGTTGCTACTTCATAACTGTAATGTTGCTACTGTTATGAATCGTAATGTAAATATCTGATATGCAGGATGGTCTTAGGCGACCCCTGTGAAAGGGTCGTTCGACCGCCAAAGGGGTCGCGACCCACAGGTTGAGAACCGCTGCAATATCTCCAAGTTCCCCTCCTTGGGCTTCCCGCGTTTCTACAAAAAGGCTTCACCTGCCCCGACACCCAGATGCCCCCCGACAAGTCTTCAGAGCTTCGCCCCGAGCCTCGCTCCCTCCGATTCCTCCTTCTCCAGGAGCTCTGGTCCCGCCTGTTGTGCGGCACTTGAGCACCTGTGTCCCTGTCAGCACAACTAAGTCACAAACTGCCCCTAGCACTCCAACACGAACGAGAAAGTGGCCTCGGGAAAGGCGATGCATCCCGCGGGCGCAGAAGCTGGCTTCCTCCTGCTGCTGCTGCTGCTGCACATCGGGAGCGCCCTGGGACCCGCAGCACAACTAGGCACCTCAGGCTGCAGCCTGAATCCCCTCCCGCCCGGCTCCCTCTCTTCCAGGACCAAAGGCTTCTTCTCTAAGCCGCAGCCATAGCCTTCCTTACCGAGCAACTCGAGGTTCATCCCTGAGAACTCTGGACGCCTGGTCTCAGCTCCAGCGACGACGCCTTCCCCGCGCCGGCTTCTAAGACTGCGTCTCAAAGCGGGGGCGCTGCGAATAGCCCGGCGCTAGCTCCGGAGACTTTTTGGTGTAGAAGACCCTTCGGCTTCCTCTTTCTTCCCCCGCCTTCCCTGTTCGTTTCAAGTGGGCTGTCCAAATATATGCCTAACCAAAAAGGAAAACAGGCTCTGTCGAAATCGTTTGATTATGATATTTATTAAGGGATAAAAGTGTTTTCGTCACTTAGTACTTTAAAAAGCGCAAGCAAATGAGGATGTTTCTTCCCGGGTTATGTACGTGAGCTAGAAATTTCAGGCATATAGTTAGACGACTAGGACTGCTCTGTTATGTGTTCAGCGGTGTTGTCCCGGCCGGCAGCATCAGCCTCCGCAGGAAAGGTTCCGGGCAAACACGACTGACAGGAAAGCTGGAAAGGTCAGCCCCCTGGTACTCACCTGTATGTAGCTAGTTATTGTGTATCCGCCTTTACATTTGTAACGATATGCCATTGATCCCCTAGAAATGCGCGACAGTGTTTGTTAGGCCTTTCCCTCAGGCTTTCCCAGGGTTGACCAGGGCACTGAAAAGGAAGTGGAATGAGAGGTGGGCTGAGTACGCCGGAGCGCAGACAGACTGTGATGAGATACACAAAGCAATTAGAGACATCCAGCTGATGGTAACTAACGAGGAGGCAAATTCTGTACAAACAGGTTTCAACTATGGATGCTGTGGGCTATCACAAAACAACAACTGCGTTGTAGGTCGCTGCAAAAAGCCAGATCACCTGTGTGGGTTTAACGCCAGGAATCCCAGCTCCACCCTTTGGGCAATATTTTATTCTCTGTGCCTCAGTTTTCTTATATGTAAAATGGAGGTGATAGTAGTACTTACAGAATTATTGTGAAGATTACATGAGGTAACATATGAATTATGTAGAACAACAAGTGCCCCGTGAATATCAGCTACTATTAATTACAAACTAGTGGCCTGGTGCATGAATTGAAAGGAAACTAATTAGAAGAAATATTTTTAATATCGCTGTCCGCCCTTTTCTCTCTAATAGAAGTGTAGACCAAATATGTGATCGACAATGACAGATCGAAACACACGCGTGTGATTGGCACCAGCAAGAGCTTTATATGTATCGCGCATGCACAAGTCTACTTAGCCTTTTATCTGTATAGAATAAACTTGCTTAATTAGACCTGCTTTCTGATTTAGCTAAACTTTTTCCAGCCCAGTGAAGCATCCCAACTTCTCTTTCAGGTAATTGTCAGCAACACAGCAATAAATATCAACCCGACGCAGATTATTATTGTAGATCATGCAGGGAGAACAAGGGTAAAATATTTAACTGCAGCAGTGTTTGACTATATTCTGTGCGGTGTGAAAACCTGAAGTCATTGTCAAGGTCCACCATTTCTTCTTTTCAGTAGGGTCAAGTTTCTAAGCTTTCTAAATCTCCATTTTCTGGCTAATGAAAAGAAAATAGGATTCCACGGATCCTCCTATCTATCTACTCCAGGACTTCTGTGAGGATCAAATGAGATGAGGCACAGGAAAACACTTCACAGACATTTGGTTAAAGTGTAAATGTTTCCACCCGGCTATAAAGCAAGTCGTGTTTCTGGGCTGAAGAAACTCCAAGGAGTCTAGTCGCTAGGGAGAGGAAGCCAGGTATTGCTACATGACAGCATTACTGGGCGCCCACAACAACCGTTTCCAGGCTGGCCACGGGGTCTCGGCAGCGTCAGCTGTGATTTGGTGGGGTGTTGCTGGGGGGTGGGAGTGCTGGTGGGGGGTGGGAGCAGGGCCTGTGTCCTACTTGGGGGAAGCCGAGTGTTGCTTTGTTGGCGCCAGGTCCGCGCTGCCCTTTCTCTATAAATGGCCAGTGCACATCACGGCAGCTCCTGCATTGAGTGTCTGCCCCCTGGTGGTCACTGAACATGTCAGATGGGCAAAGAGACACTTAGCAAGCATATTGGCCTTTTATATAGATCACTTCCCCTGTTATCTCACTTCTTTAAGGCCATTAAGGTAGATATCAGCCCAATTTGACCAAATGCAGTAATTGAGGCTCAGAGATAATAGACGATTTGCATTCTTTGACATATCCAAAACATTGCCAAAATGTCATCCAAAAATATTGTACTCCAGTAATGATATATAGGAGTATTTCTCAACACTTGTAATCAATTCATTATCATCAGTTCTCACAAACTGACAATTGAATAGATGAATAATGTCATTGTTACATTTGTTTTCACAATGAAGATGAACAACGTTTCACATGTATTTTCCTCTTCTGTGAGGTAGCCTCTTCATATCCGTTGCCTATTTTTTGGGTAGAGTCTTCATGTTGTAGGATTTTAAAAGCAAGGAATAAGATCAGATTGCTGCTTAAGAAAGAAAACAAGGACAGAGTAGAGTAGGGATTCATTAGAGGAATGGAGAGCAATTAAGAGATTACTGCTGTAATCCTGTGGAGAGACGAGGAAGACTCGACTCAAAGCCACAATAAAGGGAAGAGAGAAGGCAATGCCTTCAAGAGAGATGTAAGAGACAGAACTGATAGAGCAGCGGTTCTCAACTTGTGGGTCGCGACCCCTTTGGGGGTCGAACGACCCTTTCACAGGGGTCGCCTAAGACCATCGGAAAACACATATATAATGTGTTTTTGTGATTAATCACTGTGCTTTAATTATGTTCAATTTGTAACAATGAAATTGGGGTCACCACAACTTGAGGAACTGTATTAAAGGGTCACGTCATTAGGAAGGTTGAGAACCACTGTGATAGAGGGTCAGAAGACTGGCATGACTAAGATGTTTCTAGTTGGGGCGACTCCATTTGCCACAACAGGGAATGCAGGGAAAGGAACAGCTCTGGCAAGGTAGATGAAGAGTCCAGATTGGGACACATTGGGTTTAAGGAGCCTGTCAGAAATTCAAGTGACCATACAGACTTGGAGTTCAAAGAAGAGTTCCAAGCTACTGTATTTTATCAATTCTAATATGGACACTTTACCACACTTTAAAATCTCTTGGCTATGAATTGCCCACACTGTATTCAGAATTGAGGCCCATCTCGCTCCCCACTGTAAAATTCCACTGCAGTGGTCCCAGTATTTATCGCAATGGTCCATTTTTAACAACTGTCATTCCATTTTCTTTAACAATCCCACCGTCACAGTGGCTTCTGCTTCTTGGGGCCAACCCCTCCTTGGGTGTAGTCATTGAAATGCAGCAAATTATCAAAGTTACACCTCAGGGAAAACTTGGGCCCAGTTGGTATTCACTCCCCCGCCCCCCAACCCCACATCTTGTGAGCACTTGGCGGCATCCTCGGGCTGCCTGTCCCTTCACCTGCCCTGGACTGCACCCCTCGCCCCAGCTTCTGGTTCAGCAAGCTCCTCCAAAGCTATTCTTGCAACCCAGGGCAATTTGGTGGGTGACACCAGCTGCCACAGACCCCTCCTTTTGCCTGAATTGGATGGGGGGTCCTACACATGAGGCTCTGCCAGACCCATGGCTGGAAGAGAGATGAAGAAGCTCATTTGCCAGCCTCCTCTTCAACTCAGAGGGCCAGTGGGGAGCGTAATTAAGAAAGGAAAACTGGCCTTGGAATGAGGGGACATGGGAGTTAGTCTTGTCCTTGCCTCCAACTAGCTGTAAACATACACTACAATATACAGATGTTGTATTATAGTTGTACACTTGAAACCTATATAATTAACTAATGTCACCCAATAAACTCAATTAAAAATACATTAACTTTGAAAATAATTTAATTAGCTGCGTTAATACATTTGAAATGTTTCTATTAGGTACTGACAAATTGGTCTTTTGTGGCTATATTCACTTCCCAACAATATAGGAAAGTAGTGCTCATAACCCACACTTATAAAGAGGTTTCTAATATTTATCTTCAGGAATCTGATAGATGGAAATATCTTTTTGGTTTTCATATGCATTCCTGGTTACTAGGTGAGGATAAATATATTTTTCAAATTTTTAATTAGCCAATTTGTTTTTATTTTTTATTGGTTTCTTCATATATTAGGAATATGAATGTTTTTATCAGTTATATAATTATTCTCTCCAAATTAATGATCTGTCTTAATTTTGCTTTTGGTGTCTTTGGATGTATATATGTTCTTTATAATTTCTATCATTTTTCTTTATGGCTTTTGAGTTTCTGATCACACTCAAAAAAGTTCTCCCTTCCTCCAAACAGTAAATGGACATACTTACACACAATTTTTTCCTGGAGGCAGAAAGGCATAGTGGTTAGTTGTAGAATGAGAGGTTCTGGAACTGGACTTCTTAGGTTCAAATCCCAGCTCTGGCATATATCAATTGCATGACTGTGGTACTTAATTTTCTCATCAGTAAAGTGGGGTTCTGGGGAAGGTTAAGTGAATATATCTACATATCTATATATATAAATAGATTATATAGATATATATAATTTAGAATAGTGCCTAGTACAGTGATGGCGAACCCTTTGAGCTCGGCGTGTTAGCATTTTGAAAAACCCTAACTTAACTCTGGTGCCGTGTCACATATAGAAATTTTTTGATATTTGCAACCATAGTAAAACAAAGATTTATATTTTTGATATTTACTTTTATATATTTAAGTGCCATTTAACAAAGAAAAATCACCCAAAAAAGTGAGTTCGCGTGTCACCTCTGACACACGTGTCATAGGTTCGCCATCACTGGCCTAGTATATAATAAATATTCAACATGTATACCATTATCAAGTTCCTTTATAGTTCTTTTTAATATTTAGATCTTTAGTATACTTTTTTGTGTGCATGATTTGAGTCTATTTTTTCCCCAGGTGAATAGTTAGTTTTACAACGTCTATTTTTCCAGATTTGAAATACCACCTTTAGAATATACTAAGGAACAGGCCATCCCCAGGAAGCCCCTAAGAGACCTCAACCAGTTCAGTGGCCACCCATGATAACTGCACTTCATGGACACCTTGGGATTCTACTAAAGGTAGAAATTTCTAAGTTAAATTGAACAGTGTTCAGAAACTTGGTGGACTCTCCCCTTGGAACCCCACCCAATCACAGGACCAGGGAGGCCACCCTAGTTGCCTTACTCAAGTAACAAGCCTGCTCAGCGATGT